AAAAAAAGTTATACAATCTATCTGGCTTCCCTTTTCACCAAGTCTACCTGAAACATCAGAGCTCAATTAAACTACCGTAGGTTTCTGGGATAAGCAGCTTCTCTTCCTCTGATACTTTCAAACTCTCCACTAACCATCATAATTGCTTTTATCATGTTAACTCTTTAGAAAGCAGTAAGTAATGGAATAAATTACCCAGATAGTACTGTGCTGCTGCTCGGTTGGTATAAAGGACAACATTCAAATCAGAGTCTGCACATTTCTTCTTTAAGCCTTCAGTGTACGAAATCACGGCTTTTTTATAGTTTTTTTCTTTAAAGTAATCATTGCCCTCATCTTTGTAAGTCTTGGCCTGTTCTGCAAAGAGAAAAAATAATCACTATTTCCTATTTTTTAAAAGGCGCATTAAAAATAGTTTCTAAATCATTCAACAATGAAACATAATCAACCAAAGAGAAGAAACCAACAGGGAAAGAAAACTCAAAAATACTATAAAGCTGGGTATTAACATGGAGAAACAAAGTCATGTGTACTTAATGCTACAATGAATTCCAAATATCTATAAAAGTAGATTATTAAATGCTTACAAAAAAAGAAGCATAAAAGGAAAAAGCATACTTATCCTAGCTCTTGAAGAACTTTTTTTTTAATTACTGAAGGGGGAAAATTATACTTCTGCTTTTGCTTATGTTGTTTTATTCCCTGGAATGCAAATTCCCCTAGTAAGAGCCTACAAAATTGTTAAAGATTCAGTTCAAATTCTTAATCCATTGTGAGCCCACTCACTCCTACTTCTCTGCCTTCAACGTTCCAGCAGCACCTAGTATATAGCGATGTGTTAGCACTTATCACACACACATTTGACCTGATTCTTTAGGACAATCTGGCTACCCAATGGAGCATGATTTTTGAGGGTAGTTTTCTTCATCCCTGTGCCCCAATGCCTAGCTAGCATTTAATAGGTATCCAGAGAAGTAAGTACATGTTGAATAAATAGTGACAAGTTAGCTCAGGCTAACTACTACTTGTTTTCAATCAGAACATTTCTGATCACTATTCACCTCAAATCAATGACGACACAAAACAAATATTAGAGTCATGGAAGATACCTTCTGGAGATCGCTCGTCATCAAAAATAATTGATTGGAGGCAAGCCAAGTCGGGATTCTCCTTGGGATCAATTTCTGATGGCGTTTCCTTCATGAATAGGGGGATCTTCTCAAATTCCTAGAGAAGAACGAACTATACGAATAGGATTTTCCACTGAGTAGACCCAACTCCATGTTTCTACTATATCAAAGTTTTCGTTCTCGTCATGATTTGCAAATCATCATGATTGGCTATATCTCTCCCTACCCGAGCCTCAGTATCCCATCTGTAAAATGAGAACTGCAGGAAAATGATCTCTAAAGATTCTTTCGTTTATCACATTCTGACAAGAGCGGTAATAATTACCATTAATTGAGGGCTCTATGTTCCCGGCACTGTACCCACATCTCACTTCATCTTCACCACAATCCTGTGAGATTGGTGCTATAGTTAGGGCAATTTTACAGATCCAGGAGACCGCTCGGAGAAGTTAAGTAACTGACCCAGTATCACAGCCAGTAAGTGGTGGAGTCACAGGTCTAACCCCAAAACCAAGATTTCTAAATGTACAGGCAGATTAAGAAGATCCTCAAAACCTCGAGGCTGATTTTTAACCCTCAAGCAGAAGCTGCTGACAGCGCCAGGGGTCCGGGGGCTGAGGGAGGCGCCTCCGCGCAGCGCCTGGAGCCCCAGGAGTCAACACAACGCCCCCACACACGTGCAGAAACCCACGTTCCACTTACCTCCTCCCACCGGTCCTCAATAAAGCGTCCACGGTAAGACTGGCTCTGGAACTTTTCTAGGAACGAGTCCATGGCGTCCTCGGACACGACTTCCAGTTCAGGAACGTCCATGATAGCTCCTCGACACTCCTGCCACATTCTGGACGCCGAGAACTGCATGGCAACTTCCGGCGGCGCGAGCGCCTTTCCCTTAATCCTCCGGGCGGCTCCAACCTGTGCGCCTCGGGTTCCGCGGTTCTGGGGGCGTGGCCTACCTGGCTCCACCCCTCCCCCGACAAGCACCTTCCTTGCCCCGCCCTGCCCTCCCTTGAGGAGGCTGTGCTGCAGCCTCACCTCCCGAATAGTTTGGGGGTGGTGGATAAACCTAACGCTCCTCCATACTCCACTATCACTTCATTTGTTTATTTGTTCAGCCGGTTAACACTTAGTCGCTAAGCTGCTTCTGGGTTCCAGGCCTGTTGTAGTCGCTGGGGATACAGTGGTGGGCAAAGCAGATAAAACCCTCTAGGAGTTGATAAGGTAGTATGAGTAGGAGAGACAGGCAATAAGCAAATGATGTGAGAGCTTGTCAGGTGGTNGTCATGACTTTTCCGACAACCCAATATTTACCACCCCCGATCATAAATATCTAAAGCACCATACCTTTGATAAAGCATTTTAAGCTGGTCCATGGGGATATAGGGAAGATTAATATGTGAGGAATAAATTCAAGTTTGCAAAGTACCTTTGAACTTCTCAAAAAAAAAAAGTGAAGTATAAAAGTAATAAAAGCACTACTATTATAAAAGTCAGACTACAAGAGAAAAAATAATCAGGGATCATTTCTGCATTAGTTACCAGCAAAGGTCCCATAACTTATCTTTTAATTAACATTAACATGGCATTTGAAGATCTCACCTTGCAATCAGCTAATTTAGAAAAAAATCAGAATGTGGCTTTTAGAACTGCTTACTTTAATTTTATTCTTTATTAATTTGAAATGAGGAATTTCAATTTCTCTACAAATTCTTAAAATACAAAGGGTTAGATTATTCTCTGGGGAATTCTTTTAAAAAATGGCATGTTGCTGTGGATTAAGTACCAGGAACTTAATATCAAGATTACAAAAATAAGGTGACTTTATTAGTATCTTAGCACCTTAATCTCAAAGCTTAAAATGTCTCAACTTTTGGTGCAGTGAGTACCAACTTCTTCTTAATGACAATCATACTGTAGACTTACCTCTTACTATTGCTTTGAGGTGGCAGGGGTTTAGCTTTCTGGCAGCTATCACATCATTGAGAGCAGAACGAAAATTGCCTAATGAAACACCATTTAGGAAAAAAAAGAACAAGTTTTGAGATGAGAATATTTACAAAGTTTTGTGTGTAGGCACAATCTTGGGTAAATAGAAATCAGAGCAACTGTTTTTAGAAAAAAAACATAAGCGCCTTAGAATTTTTTTTTTTTTTTTAGCTGAGCCATCCTGCTACCTGTTGGCAGATCAGTGGCAGCTCAGCTCGGGCCGGGCATCAAACTGCTGTTGCTCAGAGCTCCAACTCTTTGAGCAAGCTCTTAACCAACTGAGCCACTAGCCGGCCCAGAAATTTTTATAACATCAGGCAACCAACCCTCAGAACTATAGATGGCTCACAAAAAAATGCTCAATCTCACAAATGATTGACTAATTAGAATTAACATGAAATTGGTAAAAATTATACACAGAATATATCCAGTATCGGTGAAGATAAAGAAAAGGGGCACCCTAAGGGTAAATTAGAGAGCAAATTAGCATGCACTTTGTGTACACTTCGACCTGACAGTATTCTTCTAAGAACTTATCCTACCTTACATAGTTGCTGTGAGGTTAAGAGGGATAACAAATGTGAAAGTAAGCCGTACCGGTGACATATTATTTAAGGATGGCTCTCATTATTAAGAATTCGCTCCTCTGGTGTCACGCACACACACTGTTTTTTCTTGCAAGGTGCACTTGGTCTTATTAGCGCTGTAAGTGACATCCTTTAAGTTCCCCAAGGAATG